CACACACACACACACACACACACACACACACACACACACACACACACTTTGATCAGTTACATGGCAGAAGGAAATGAGTCCAGTGGACTCTGGAAAATCATTTTCAGTTGAAATGTGTGTAATCTTTCCGGCATGACCGAACATTGATAACATTAGGCCATAATTAATCTGATAACTGTGCAACTAAGAAGTGTTCATTTAAAAGGCCAAGACGGCTAAAGGTTACGATGTGGTTGAGATGAGAAAACTGCACTCTGTAAGGTGCGATGTCTTTAAATGTCTCTCAAATAACACAGAATAGATAACATACACAAAGGCATCGTCAATGCTGAGACACCATCAACAAGTCTTTGCTTTTGTTGCTTTTTTTTGTCATTTGTATATTCAATGGAATTTTAAAAAATACCATCAAGTAGGGTAAAAAACTTAAGGACTGTGAAATACCCAAAACCTGATAAGTAATTAATTTCAGAGCGTCTCTTATCGGTGTTGTGGTCCATTATATATCCTGAACAAAACACGGATGGATGGTGCAGTCTAGCGTTGCTTCATATAAAAACAACCAATGCACACATGTTGCGACACAAATTCATAGTACTGCAAGATAACATCTCAAAAATGTCTGCCTGTTGTCTAAATCCTGATTCTTGACATACTTGGAAAGGCTACGATCCACAATTAAAGCAAGAAACTTGATATTTCTGTCGTGTCACGTCGAATTGAACAAACATCCTGTGGCTTTAAACTAATGACACAGTATTCAGTGTATGGTGAGCAAGAACCAGTTTTATCAGCCCAGGCAGGCAAGAAAAAAAACATTACATGAAAAAAAAGTAAAGTGGTTATTTGTCCTTTCATTTGCTGAAGACATGAGCATATTCAAAGTTGTGTGGGATGAAGACGTCCCTGTGTTTGGTTTCTGTTTAGTACGTTAAAGTTCACATCTATGGCCTGATTAATAAGGACAGTTATAACATACATTCTGATATGTTCATGGCTATACACTAACATTGTCTGTAGGCAAGGGTGTTGTAAAAAAAAACACATTTAAAAAACTATAAATCAATTATGTATCACCTTGCTTAGTTTTGGTAATAATGTTTTTTACAGTTTATGCATAAAAGGATACAAAATAGACCATGATGGTGATATTATAATTTTCATTCTCCATTTTCTCAAAGGTTGCAATTTTATAAGTGTATACGACTATATATAGATTAATGTAGCAAATAACTACAAAATACTGTGTGACCTTTACATAAATATTTCTATTAAATAAATAAATAAATCACAATATCATGAATTTATGTGCTTGTATGTATACAAACATAATAAATAACCATTATTGATAAATACTAAAGTTAAGAAAGATCATTATTAAATAGGCTACTTCTACTACTATGTAATTATAGCATCAGAGAGAGAGCACACTCACCAGATTCACTTTACTTTGTAGCTACATAAACACACACAATGTGTCTCACAACCACACACACACACTCCTCCAGTTCACAGCGATGCAGAAGCTTTACACATCACTAGATGATTTAGGTAAATAAAAGCACTTCTTATCATCCATCAGGCTCAGCGACATGACATGTACACACATAATACTTCACAATGCTGTCTGGAGAACAAAAACCGGCCTGCTCAGACAATCTAGTACCTTTTAAAGTGCAAATAAAATGTAATATTATTATTATTACACTTATTTACTTATCTGGCATATCTGCCACAAGTTTTTTTGAGAACACTTAACGAGCCTTACAGACTTCCAACTGAACTGTTTACACCAAAGTAATGGCAAGAATTTATCAATTAACGCTGTGCCGTTAACACGTTATATTACAGTACTTAGATAATAAGATATACACTTTCAAGTAGCTTTTGTTAAGTTTAGTGGTGAACTTTTTCAGCGCCTGAATGATCAGTTAAATGATCATTCAGGTGTATCTTGGACTGTTTGGTTGGACGAAACCAAGCAATCTGAAGACGTCACATTGGTGTTACGGTTATAAATGC